GAGCTCGGGCCATCTCGGGTAACCTCGGCGATCTCGACATCGCAGGCGCGCGGTGCGCGACCACCTGACGGAGGCGGAGCGCGCGCAGCTCCTCTTCTTCGCCACCGGCGCAACGCGGCCCCCTGCTACCGGCTTCGCCTCGCTGATGGGCTACCGTGGCGCCGAGCAGCGCTTTACGGTGGCGTGCATTGGCGGCGGCGCCACCGGCCGACTCCCCACGGCGTCGGCTTGCTTCAACCGTCTCTATTTGCCCGAGTACTGCTGCGAGGCGCACCTGCGGGCCAAGCTGCGGCTGGCGCTCGCGGGGGCGCGGGGCTTCCACGAGGCGGCGGTGGCGCAGCCGACGACCGGCACCGAGGTGACGGTGCAGGCGCCGCGTCGCTTCTGGGGTGTGGGTTGAGGAGGTTGGCGTGTGCCGTCTCGAAAGTTGACCTGAGTGCGGAACGGCCACGAACGGAGAGTCTCGAGTGGACAGAGAGACACACGTAGAGCACAACACCGTCGTGTTACGCTTTATTCCACAGCGTGATTAGTACATTGATAATTGATCGCATGTGTGCACATGTGCATGCACATGTGTAGTCGAGTGTCTTCCACACAAACCCCCTGAGGCTGAGACGTGAGAGCCCGGCAGCGCGGCACCCTGTTACGGCTAGCTGTTTTTTACGCGCGTGAGCCCCCATGTGAGGGCGTGTTCCAGTTCGCCGACCCACAAAGCACAATCTAAATCATTCATAAAAAAGAGAGCCGCATGTAGCCCACAACCCCCCCCTAGTCGCCGACCACACCCACAAAGAACCCCTCCCTGCACAAAGACCGCAGGGCATCGCTCAGGGCGGGGACCTGTTCCTTTTTACCCATCTCCTAGTAGAGGTGTCCGTTTTATTTATTTATTTACAACCCCCCCCCCCCCCCACAGAGCCAAGTCCTCAGCTCACCTTTTGGGAGGCGTACCTGTGTCTGTCGTCTCACCTTACAGTATTACATGCACTGCAACGGGAGTGCGCCTGGCCCTGCCGCTGCCCCCGGGGGAGCTGCGCCGCGCCCACAGGTGACAGGCAAGAGCGATACTCCCCTCTCCTGGAGCGAGAGCGGGCTCAGAGAGCTCCAGCAGGAGTCCTCAGCTATGGACCGCTCACACGAGCGGTACCTCGTCTTGCGGCTTGCTAAAACCGAGGTTGGGAGCGCCGCTGCCGCCGCCGCCGCCTTCGTGCTTGGCCTTTTGGACCATGTTGTTGCCGATGTAGCTCGCCGCACCTGCGACGACCAGCAGGGCGATGCCGTACACGGGGTTGTAAAAGAGCCAGGCGATGGCGGTGGAGAACGCCCAGAGCCCGAGCGCAAAGACTGCGGCCACACAGGCGACCATGCACTGCGCGACACCGGCGATGTACTCGCCGACGCACGGGACGATCTGGGGCGCAACGGCAAGAGGGCCTCCGATCATCATGAAGCCCGCAAAGAAGATGCCGTAGCATAGGAGCCGGACCAGCATCGTCATCGAGTCGAGGTTCGCCTTGAGCACGCCAAACATCTCCGCTGGCGAGAGCGCCTTCCCCATATAGTACTCCAGCTCGCGCGGCTTGCACGGAGGGAACCACCCACCGCCCGCCTCGTACGGCTCGAGGGCGCCTGGCGAGCCCGCGAGCTGCTTACCAATCCCCGAGACGCTCTCCGCAGTGTACGCCTGCATTGTCAGCTGGCGGTCTCCCAGCTGCGCCGAGTTTGGGGTGTAGATGCGGCCGTCCCCAGTCTTATAGTAGTAGACCGCACCCTCCGTTGGCCCCGTCTGGCTCATCAGCCCTGCCATCGGGTCGTTGCTCTGAACACCCTCCTGCGTCTGCGCCCAGCCTGCAGGCGCCGGGATATCGATCGGCGCGGGGCCCATGTCCATCGTCTGTTGCAACTTCTCCTGGGTGAGCGCAAACTGGGCGACTGGTTCGCCTGCCATAGGAAACATACCATCCGCTGAGTTGGGTTGCGTGGATGAGCTTCAAGACGGGCGCCCGCACCGAGGTCAACACTCGGCGCGTAGCTCTGCGAGAAGCCCAGCCCAGAGGTGTCGAGCGACAGATCCGACGCCGACGGTTGCGAGTTCAGGCAATTGGGGCCGGGGTCCTTCGCGTTTCTGCCGCAAGTGTAGCGGATATTATTTAGCTGAATACGCGGCGCCTACATGTCGGTTGTCTCGCGTGATATTGGGTGTGCGTCAGAGTGCCTCCCAAAGTAAGGCGCAGGCCCGCCATGCTCGTCCAAGTCTTGGTATAGCAAAAGCACGTGTACGTTGTCGTCCCGCCAAGGTTGTCCTTCTCCTCCTGGCTGTAGGTTTGTTCGGTCCATAGATACATCTGGACTGTCGAGGTCACCTGAGCACGCGGTTGCTCCTGAGCAAAGGCTGCCACGCGGGGTGCTGGGGCACCGTAAGCGCGCCGCAACCTTCAGTGCACCGGGGATGGTCGCGCCCGTGACGCTCTCAGTGACCTCCGCCGTGTCCAGCTGGACGGGACAGGTGTAGTGGACGAGATCGCCCATGTTGGCCGCATTGTTCTCGCACGCCGTGTCAACGATGATGGCCTTACCCGCGTCAAAAGCGGCGGAGGTGCACACCGAGTTGCCTGAGGAGCAAGTGGGGTCGCGTGTGGGAGAGATGTGGTGTGCTGCCCCTCCCATTAAGGTTGCGCTGCCCTCGTTCCAGACCACAAGCCAGCAGCCAACTGGCAGCAGGAGAAAACCTGTGTACACGTCATGCACAACATGTCACTTGTCGCAGAGAGAGGCTGTGTGGCGGACACGTGTTGGACGTAGCATGCGCTATGACGGCTCAGCAAGGTGTGGAGAGTGCGCCGATAAGGACGCCGCAGAAGGAGTGAAGCAGCTTCTGGCAGTAATTGGTGTGGCTCGTGGGGTTGAACTCTTCGTCCATTGCGCCCGCAGTTGAGAGTTGTCCGGCTCGCTCCCGCGCGGAGCGACGGACGCGAGCGGACCGACCCGGACTTGCGTGTTGCGACTTCCGTTTTCATGCGGCCTTATTTTCTTTCTTGACTGGAGGGAAGACCAGACACAGACATCTTTTATCTTCTCCTCTTTGAAGTCTGTATTAGAGTAGGAGGACAGGAATGCGCAAAAAATGGACATAACAAAAGAACGCCTAAAACACGCCACCACACACGTATGTGCCGCAGCAGACCGCCACGGCCCTCGCGAGATCGCCCGTTGATCGCCGACGGGTAGCGGTCCACACGGGATATGTCGCTGCTCATTGGTTGCCAAACTCGGGGCGGTAGCCGCGGTTTGAGGTGCCGAAATCGGGTTGCCGCAGCTCTGAACGCTGCCCGAACTCGAGGGTAGTGCCGTCCGAGGTGCGTGTGTCTACGCTCGGGCCACTCGCCGCGCTGAGGAGCGTGCAGAGAAAGACGACACCAAAGAGGCCTCCGAGCAGCGTTTGCGGCGACGCGTCGGTCAAGTCGGGAAGCTGCACGTTCTTCGCCTCTCTCGCGACGTCGGTGAGGCCGTCCTTGAGAGGCTCTACCGCGCGCGAGATGTCTGTCTTCAGCTTGAACTTTGTCGCACCGCCCTCCGCCTCCAGCCGACGCGCAAACTCTGCCGCGAGCGCATCCCCGTCTTCGCCAGTCTTCTTTGGCTCGTCGTCTGAAAGGGCTGCGCGCGGCGCTCGAGAGCGGAACGGCCGCGCGACCGAGGGCGGAGGGACCGAATGCAACGCAGCAGCGAGGCTGACAGCAGAGATGATGACGAGCCAGCGCATATATACACTTACAACACCAGAGCCAAAACGAGCTTTCCCCGAAACCGCGCGAAAAGAATTCTTTCATGCTGACGCTTGGATGCCACTCACCGTTCTCCCATCCCTCCCTTGGGTTGTCTGTTTTCTTTCTTTCTTTTTGCCACTCACTGGCACGACAAGGGCGCGGACTGGCGCGGACTGGCACAAAGAAAAAGGCGCCACTGCCCTTCCTGATCGTCCTTCCAAAATCCTTCGGGTCACTCCTCATCGCAAACCCTGTCAGCAGTCCTCCTCCGGGAATGTACGTTAGAGCCACATACATTGAAAATCCTGCTCGTGCAGGTGGGGACCCTGTCTCCTCCCCCATCCCTCGTTTGGGGTGTCTATTTTCTTTCTTTCTTTCTTTTTCCTTGTCTGCTGTGAGAGAGTGAGAGAGTTGTTTTGTTTAAATTCTTTTTCCTTACTCGTACTTCCTCAGGACAACAATTCTCTCTCTCTCACACACAATTCTACTCACTCAGTCAGGTGGTCGACGGGACGGGACGGAGGACCCCGAGGGGCGGTGGCGCCCACAGGTGCGATATTAATAGGTTCGTCCTTATATGCGAGAGAGAACGCCGGCTGCGCCCCTGGCAGCACACCACATCTCTGGCAGCAGCCCTCGTCCGCCTCTCCGGACTCCGCTCCATGTACCATGATGCGCCCCCCTCGCCCCAACCCTCTTAGCACTTAGGTCTAGCCTCTGGTAAACGAGTTTCCTAAAGCTGCATTTTTCTGTGTCTGTCCTCACCCCCAGCGCCCAGCATGCTAAGTAAATAAATAAAACGGTCAAACTCTGAGACGAGATGGGATTTAGGGACATGTGTCCCCGCCCTGCACACGATCTTGGGGATTCTTGGTGTCCCAGCATGCTGCATGGGAGGACCGTCTACTTTCTTTCTTTAGAGCTGGCATGCGAGAGGACTGCCCGAGGGGCTGGGCCTGCTCGCCCTGCACGTGCAGCCTGCAGGCGGTCCCCCCGGGGGCGGTGCAGCCAAGAAGTCAGCCAAGGGTCTAGGCTCTAAGGGTGCGCACAGTGGTGCGCAGCGCAGAGCACCGGGCAGGCGCGGAAACCTGCTGTGGTAGGAGCGATCCGCATCCGGGAGGAGCCCCGAGAGCGGATGTGGGATGTGGCGCTGGAGGATGGCTTGCCGTGGTGGCGATCGGCTCTGCCTGTGCCGTTCCTTTGGTCTTTCGGTGCTTTTATTTCATTCAAAGATTACTGCTGGCCAGGCGTCACAATGCTCACTTTGATGCCGCCTGATACGTCCTCGCCCTCGGTCGGCTGCTCGATCGTCACCACGCACTCGGCCGCGACCAGCGGCGGCGCACCCGCGCTCTCAACCTGGGGGTGCGCTTTCGACGGCCGCAGCCTCTCGCGCCGCGCGTCCGCGTCGCGCCCCTCTGAGAGGAAGAATTCCAAGAGAGACTCGCCTAGCGTCTCTGGAGCCTATGGGGCGGGAAAGCATGAGGCTATCAGCTGACGGACGCCACCCGGCAGTGAACTGCAATGGCTGGTGCCGTCTGCTCGAAAGCCACCAGCTCGATAGCCTTCTCGAGGAGCGTCGGCAGCCGAATCTCGAGAAAGTAAGTTGCAAAGGCCGCCTCGGAAGGATAGAGGTCCGTGCGCGAGGTCCAGGGGCTCAAGCTGCGGCGATTTGTGACGGGGTGAGCAGCTCTGAACGCCCAATTTGAGGTGTGGCGCCGCTACGAACCCACCACCCTATTGCAAATCTGACCTGCGCTCGGCCGACTTGCCAAACCGCCGCTCCAGCCACTCGACGGCAAAAGGCTCGAGCTTGTCTGGCTTGTCCTGCGCGACCGCTTGCATCAAATCTGTCGCGGCAGCGTGTGGTGAGTAGACGGAGTTGCCTTCATGGGCGGGGACGTCCCACACCTCTCAATATCGTGGTGAGCGTCGCCCTCCTCTTGCCCTGGTCCTGCAGCTGCTGCTCCCACGAGTCGTCGCCAGGGCAGCGAGGCGACAGGGTCTCTTCCAGGAGCCCCTTGATGTGGAGCTCGAGCTCGACGGCGCCGCCTTGCGTCTCTAGCCGCAAGACGATGGGCTGCATTATATGGCTGGGCGGTGAAACGCTCGTTTCGGACAATAAAATAACCGAGGGGCCCTCAGCGGAGCTGGGAATAGGACCGCCGCAGGGTGCCACCGCGGGTGGCCAGCCCGCCGCGCCTGCGGGCCCGGCCGCCGCCGCGCGCGTGCCGCCGCCGCCCAGCGGCGGCGGAGTGCGCGGCTGCTCCTTCACTGTCCCTAACCCGGGCAGGAAGCGTGGGCAGCAGCAGCGCGGCAAGGGCCGCGGTGCCAGGGGCCGTGCCGATGCTGGACCCCGTCTCGTTGACAAGAACGCGCTGTCCGCGCGCGGCAGCGGGCTCTCGCGCCAGTCGCGCTCGCCGTCGCCCGACTCTCCGCCCGCCAAGCGGGCCGCCTCCGCTGACTCGTCCGGCTATGAAACCGATACGCCGGACGAGGTGCAGCAGGAGGCGGTCCGCAGGGTATGCGGCGCGCTCGGCATGAGGGAGCAGTTCGAGGCGGCGATGGCGGCGGGCGAGCTGCTCGAGATGCTCGAGAGCTTGCCGCGAGGGGCGGTCGAGGCCTCTGTCCGACAGATGCGGGGTTACAACCGCACGGGCGAGTGGCCAGAGCCCATTCTCACCAGCCCTGCCCCGCAGCGCGGCCGCTCGCCAAGCCCCGTCGATGAGTGGTCAGATGGTTAGTGCCCGAGAGCGAGGGGTCCGGGGGGGAGCACAAACATACATGTAGGACGCCCAGCCTTGCCCTCGTGCCGCCGAGTGCATATCCTATGCGAGAGAGATCCCCTGTGCCCTGTGCCCAGCCCTCTCCGCGCGGCGATGCGCCCTCCCCCCTCGCTTTTGCAAAATCCTGCAAAGGTGGGGACGTGTCTGTCCTCGACCCAGCCCTAGCTTGGGATGCCCGTTGTATTTATTTATTTAATAGGACCGCCGCGAGCGGCGTGGCGTGGAGCGGTTGAGCATCCCTCCGGGGGCCCCTCTGCGCCGGGGAGGCGTTGTTGGAGGCTAGGACGCAAGCGTCCGTCGCCCTTTTTCAAACTCGGGGCCCACACTCCGCTACGCTCCGACCCGAATTTGGACAAACAAATGTTAGAGTTGTTTGGTATTGCTAAAAATCTCTCTCGAATTTGGAGGGCCTAAAAGTTTAAGGTGTTGCTGCGCAAAAGGGGAAGACGCTCCACGCACAAAAAGTATATGTATCAGTTCTTACGAACGTACTTCCTCTTAGGCGGACCCTCCCGATGCCAGGACGCATCTAGTGCCAGTCTACGCTTTAGGATAGCTTGTTCGTTTGGCCGCCCACATGCTATGTGATGCCGCATGGTTCGGCCTGCTTCGCCTTTAGTGGGAGTTGACCACTGGTCGCCTGCAACATGTTCGCCGGTTGAAGGAAAGACATAGGCTCGCTGCGACGCTTCCCACACCGGGATCTCTTGCCCGTAAGTTGTGACAGCCCGTTGTGGATCGCGCACGCGCGCCGCAGCTCGCCGCACTTGCTTGAAAGTGAGACCCGGCAGCTGTGGCAGCAACGCCTCGTGAATTTTCTTGTCGCTGAGGTACATGTATCCCCTTTGCTGCGTCAGCCCCTTCACGGCAGCGAGTGCCTCTTTCGAGGACGGCATGGCGTCAGGATGTTGTTCACGCCAGCGCTCACGGGCGATAGTCAATGCAGACCGGACTGCAGATTGATGCGACTCCCCTAGTGCTGCTGCAATGGTGGTGTGATTGACAGGCTTGCCGTGCTGCTCGAACACCTCGTACACGCGATCGACTAGCCTCAGCTGTACCCGATGCGGCATTTGTGGCCCCGAAAGTGAGAGCACTTGCTCACGCTTTTCGTTGGTCCATGTCATCGGCGGCGGTAGCGGAGGCGGCGGCGGAGGAGGCGGAGGCGGTGGGGGCGGAAGGCGCGCGTAGCTGACGGCATCGGCTGCTTTGGCCTTTGCGAGCGCCTCGTCCTGAGCCAGCATCCCGGGGATGTCGAGCCGATGCCGTCCTTGCAATAAAGACTCTGGAGAGCTCGTCTGGTGGGAGCCAGCATCCTGAGTGGCACGCTGGCGCTCAGCTAGCAGCGTGTGCGCCTCCTCCTCGGTTAATGCCTCGCATCGCAAGCCATGGTGCCAGGGACCAGTGACGGCAGTCGTTTTGGCAGCAAATATAGCCTCAAAGCCGTACACAAACCGGTAGCCGGCGGTCCATTGTGGTACACTGGTGGCCCAACTGCTTGCGCCCCTAGCCCGGGCCAACCTGACCGTGATCCACGGCGCCCTGTCAGTGTCATATGGTCCAGCCCAGCACGGCCCTGCCAAGACACGAGTTTTTGAACCCAAAGATGGGTGCGAGCTGTCACCGTGTTCCGCTTCGTAGCTGTGTCGGTAGCTGGGGTGGCCGTACACTGGCTGGCCGGGCTGCAGCCAATACACACCTGTGAATCCAGCACCCTTCCAATAGCCACGCTTGTCCAACTCGGGCGGCACCACAAGGTGCAGCGCGGCTGGAGCCTCCGCCTCGCGCTCGAAGGAAGCCCCGCTCCGCAAGTAAATCACGTCCCGCACCACTTCATCATAGCTGCTCAAGTTGCGCTCCACCCAGTACGCCGCCTCGTAGGACGCCGCTGGTAGGTTGATGTGCGATCGCACCTGCTCCTCCGTGCGGCCAACAACGCTATTCGTGCGGAAGAGCCACTGCAAGCGGACTGTGCCCCCTGAGCCAATGCGGCGGCGAATGGCAAAGCGCATACAAAAGTCGGGGTCGCAGAGAGCGTCGCGCAGCAGTTGAGCATGCTCGTCGGTCGCGTTGTTTAGGACGCCACGCCAATTATCTGCGCGCCCATCTGTTGCCTGGCATCCCCGGCGAATTCGTCGCTCGTGATCAGCTCCGCTGCCGCTCGGAGCAACCAGTGCCGTGTCGAGATGAAGCTCCGCGACGACGCCCGTGGACTGCACGCGCAGGGAGAGGCGCACGAGCTCCCGCACGGCAAGCGACTTCTCGGCATGCGCCGCCTGACGCCTGTCGGCATCCCATTCTTGCAAGCAAGCCATTTCTACCGACCGCGACGGGACGGACGTTTTGGTACGTTTTGGCACCAGCTGAAGGCTTGCGTCCGCAAAAGCCCGTTGCCAACCGCACTTTTGCCGGAGTCTCGCGAATCAATTGGCCTCCGCTCAAGGTGTGAACATATTCGCTGCGGTCACAACGGACGCGGCTGTGAACAGATGGAGCCGGCAGAGCGACCCTCTGATCAACACTCCTCGGTATGTCTATATGGCCGGCGGCGGGAGAGGGGTCGACTCAGGGTCCTAAATAAATAAATAAAACGGACACCTCTCTATTGTGAGATGGGTAAAAAGGAACAGGTCCCCGCCCTTGCGATCTTTGTGCAGGGTTCTTTGTGGGTGTGGTCGGCGACTAGCCGGGGTCGTCCTCCCGATGGGGGACTAGCACTAGCCGTCTTCCACATGGTCCCTCGGGTCCCTGCTGCTCCTAATCTCTTCGTACATCCTCCTGCTGATCTCCGCAAAGTCCTGCTCCCTCCCTCGTCTCGCCCTGCACGTCTGCTCCGCCTCACCGTCTTCTGCCCTGCGTCGTCTGGCGACGGGTCCTCCATAGTCGCACAGGAGCTGCGCGAGCGCCTTCTTTTTGGACACCTTTCCCTTCAGGCCGGCTCCGTCGGCGGCGAAGAGCGCCTTAATGGCATCATCTGCACACTCCATCAGCTGGAAGGTGACCACTTGGGCGACCCGCGGCAGCCCCGGAGGGCTGGTACGCTTGGTCCAAGCCGAAGAAGATCGCCTCCGCACGCCTGACGAGCGCCTGGCGGGTCAGAAGCTGAGCCGTCAGCGGGCGGCGCTGTATGAGGCCAGAGAGGACAGGGCAGCACTCTCTGCCAGCTCTTTGGCCACGGTCGGCGCGCGGCCTACCGGGCCAGCACAGGCACAGCTCACGATACGACGCGAGTGCGGCGGGGTACGGGGCGATTCCACGGAGTTCTGCGGGCAAACGGCGGGCGCGCGCACCTGACGCCCAAACGACGCCGTTGACCCCACAGTAGAGCTCAGAACCGATCGAAAATCCTCATCCGGACCACCCAGCCTCGGCTCCTTCCGGCCCGTTTGGCGTCCGGAGCTCGGGCCTTCGAGCGGCGTCGAGGTGAAGATCGGCGCAGCAGGGCAGTCTTCGCCAGCCATTGTGGCTGCTTTCAGTGTACACCGCGGAATAAAACTCAGATTTATTTTGCATGACCTGGGGTCACACAATGGCAGCGCTCCAGACGCGCTCTGGTAGCTGCCAATGAAGCCGTAGCCCATCGCGCGCGCGCCGGACGGCCTCTGCACCTCTACTGCAGTGCCCTCCTGCACCGAGCGACGCGTCAAATCTTTGTTGCTGCCCATGACCGGCAGCGGCTCCGAGCTTGGGCGAGCGAGCCCTGGCTGAGCTGAGCCACTGCGGTCGCAATGCAGCGCTGCGGTCGGTGCAGAGTGGCCGTCGTACGCGCACGCGGCACGGCCGCTCTGCCTCAGTGGCGTGCGGCTTGGGCCAACTGAAGGTCGCTCTCCGACCTCGCTCGCCGAGCTCACAATCCGGCGCGAGCCGCATCGAGTGGAAGTTCGACTTCAGCTGCCGCGAGTGGATGGACTGCCTTGTCGAGTGCGAGCAGTTGGGCTCCGCCGGGAGCATGTGGTGCAACACGTTCTCTGGGCGCCAGCAGACGCGAGCGCGCAAGCGCGTGTTGAAACCGGACGCTCCACAGCAACACTCAAGATACACTCGAAGGGGGGTACACGTTTTCTTATTCGGGTTTCGTTGGTCATAGTGCACTTGAACCGACGAAACCGAAGAGGGTTGGCCCCGCGGGGGTGGTTTTAACTTTTATTGCGTCAAGGGTCCTTCCCCTTTAGGGTGGACTGTTTTTTGTTCATGCAAACAAACACTGTATGTTGGGCGTGCGCCGTGCTGCAGATTGTACGCGTGTGTGGGGAGTGGCTCTGTCAAAGTCCAAACCGCGCGCAGCGTAACGGCGGCTCCGCCGACCGAAGCTGCCTGCAAATCGCTACTTGTAGAGCAGGTAGCAGGTGGGCACGGTGGCGAGCATACAGACGAGCTGCAGCGGCAAGCCGAAGCGCACAAAGTCGGCGAAGGCGTAGTCGGCGTCGCGCGACACCATCAGGTTGGTCTGGTACGAGACGGGCGTGGAGAACGAGGCGGAGGCGGCCATGGTCAGCGTATAGAGCGCGGCGCGCCACGGCACGCCCGACGCCTCCGACATGCGCACGACGATCGGGAACATGAGCACCACGACGGCGTTGTTGGAGATGACGGCGCCGATGGCGATGGCGACCGCGTAGATTGCAAAGAGGAGGGCGAGCGAGCCTGCGGAGGCCACCGTGCGGGGCCTGGCGGCAGAGGCCGAGCGATGAGGCGGCGAGGGGAGAGGGAGGGGGGGAGCGAGCGCGCCGAAAGGCGCGACGATCGCGACGAGGGAGGAGGCGGCCGAGGCGGCGAGGCCCGACACCTCGATGGCCTTGCCGAGCGCGAAGGAAAGAGCGATCGAGAGGAGCACCTAACCCCGCGGGTGGGGGCTGCTCACTGAAGCACGCGGCTGCGGGGAGGGCCGCAGGGGCGCGGCGAGAGAGGGGCACCGGCCCGTTGACCGCCGCC